CTTCATTTAAAAATATGAAACATGACCAGTCATTAACATGACTAGCACAGTAAAAATGGAGTGATCAGGTGGCCTGAATACAGAAAGAGCAATACTTCCTCAAAAAATGAATCAAATTTCAGAGCCAACCAGTCTGAAGATCTCTTCTTAAAGTACTGAGAACACTGGCCAGAATCATTGAGGTTCACTCAATGATTCACGCACTTCAGAGGCCTAGCAAAATATCAGAAGACCAAAAAAGGACAAATGTCATTCCTGTCTCCACAAATACAGGAAAAGAGGAGCAGTCTGGGAGGTAGTCTGCTTAGCATCAATTCTCAGTGAACAAAAAACATCTTTTGCAATTCCCTAGAAGATAACTAGAGGAAAACAACAGCAAACATGGATTTGTTAAGTGCAAAGCATGACAGATTAGTCTTATTTTGGCCTTGAGACCCATCAGGCTGTCACAGTAGAGGAAGATGCAGTAAATGCGTCTTGATTTTATCACCACCTTTGGTCACAAACTGTAAAGCAAGCTAAAGAAACTACCTACAGGGATCTATCCTGTGGCATTTTTTCAGATATTAACTCAGGTAAACAAACAGGAACATTCCTAAATGAGCTGCTAAGACTACCAACATGTTAGCTAAGATTCCTTGGATTTGAAGATCTCATACTTGCAGTGGTCCTGACTAAACATTCACCAGAGATGTTTTCTGTGCAGCACTCGCCAAGAGGTAGAAGAAGCATCTGTGGGACTGTGGAACTCAAATCAATCTTCTCTTTGTATGACCCAAACAGTGCCTGCTAGAGTCACTGTCCTGAGTTTCATTACAGCAAATCCAACTTTGAGTGCCAGAAAAAAAAATGACCAAATTCTAGCACCAAAGAGGAAAGGAAAGGAAAGGATTTTGTGTTAAAAAATACCAACGCTTGCGGCTGGAAGATGCAGTTCTGTATCACAAAGCTGAAAGAGAATCCACTTCCCGATGCATCACTCCTGTGAAAGTTGACAAGAGATGAAGGTTGTAGGACATAAAAATGTACAGCTTAGCAAAAACAATACAGCCATTGTAATAGATCATGTGTGAAGGCCAGGGAAGGCTTACCTATCAAAGAGGGAAGATCAGGGCAGGAGAAAAAGCAACAAAATGAGAGGTTCATGTTTTCTTTAAAAGATGCTCTCAGGAAGAAAAGCAATATAGGTGTTAGAGTATTCTTACAATAACTGTAATAGTGATAACTACTTTGCTACTAGAAAAGAAAAATGGTGCCAAAGACTCCTGACTTTTTGAAGGCAAGTAACATCTAAAAGTAGGCCTCCAGCTGGGAGCCTGGAAAGCCATCTAGTGATGCATGAGACTCTAACAGTGAAGGTAGTAAACTACCCTCTGGTATGTCTCAAACATTATTATGTAGCAGGAGCTATGTACATCAGAGAGTCTGAAGGGGGTATGTGCAATGCTAACTAGGCTCCTCTCTGAACAAATTAGAAGGCCATTATGGGGTTTAGAGGAGAAAAGAGATCCCCTGTCCAAGAGCTTGAGTTCACACCAGTACAGAAATGCTCCACAGTTAGTCACTAGCATTGGTAGTACTGCTGATAGATAAGATTTTCTTCCCTAATGTCCTAAGCACAAACAGTCCCTATCCTTACTTCATTCACTTACTTAGATTTTTTTTCATCAGTAGCTGTTACAGTTAGGAATAAAGGTTTGAATTGGAGAAAAGAAAGCCTACACAGGCTGGGATTCGACCACTGGCCACTTCTGATCTTAAATGATTTGGCTTTGCAACAGTGAGACTACAGAGAGATTATCAGTTGAAGATACTGATGTAACAGCTAACCCATGAAATTCACTGACTGACACAATGTGAGGCATAACTGAGTAAGATTTAAGATATAACTGAACACTTGTATTGATAGCAACAACTTCTAGAGCTTTGCTGACAGGACTAAACCTAATTCATATTTTATCAAGTCATACACCAACAGCTGACTCACCTTAGATTAAATTTTCCTATTGACAGGCTATACCATAGTTGGATTTCTCAGAATTTTATCAGTAATTCCCTGGAGTACCCGTTAGTTGCCATTTTTAAGAGTGTCTTATCAAAGAAACAGACTTGATGAAATGACCTTCTATAACTCTGGCTTAAAGACCACTGAAGAACAGTAAATCAAGGAATTTGAAAACAAGCTCTTAAAGTCAAGATACCCAAAATATAATTAACGTCTCCAACAAAATGCTACTTTCTTCTAAACCACATATATTATGCCTACATATTCTAGTTGTGTACTAGAAATACGTACAGCAAAAAGTATAGAGGAACTTTTCCATAGCATGATAAATCCAGCATAACAATGAACTGTGCACTACAGTGAAACAAAGGTGAAACCACAGAAATTACACCTTCTAATAACTATGACTGCGTTATCAAATGCTTAAACATCAAAACTATAAGGGTGCCAGTAAATACATACTGCTCAAGCTTGAAGACAAACACATTTCCATCTTGAAATCTGAATATTCCTCATTAGCACACAAGCAAATATATGATCTGTTCCAAGCTGTCTGCATAATAGTTGAATTACTCTGAAGTCCAGTCTGGCAACAGGAACAGCATAAATTAAGAAGCCAGTTTTTTTCTTCAATTCTTTTGAAGAAGCACTGAAGTACCACTTCAATTCAGTGCATTTCTTTCCAGATAGACATCTGAGGGCACTTAAAGTGAGAGAGGAAAATGACAAAAGCCCACAGCATATTGGACTTGCAAATTTAAAATCAGAGAAACAAATTACTACTGTTATTTGGGGGCAGGTGGCATGAAGTTACATAACCAACACTAACTTTGGGCTTCTTGTTTTTTAAAATAAACCATTTAAAGAATAATAGGAAGTACATTCTCAGACCTATCACATCTAAAGGACATCAGGTAACAGTAACCAGGTGACAAAAGCACCTGATGAGTAATCTTGATCTGACGGGCAACTCAGAGGTGGAAAAGAAGTTCATGTCAGAGCAAATATTAAGATACAACAGAGCCAAGTTCACTCAGAGCAGATTTCTCTATTACACAAGATAAACCAGAATCCTTTGCTAGAGGAATGAAGGCAGGGGAGGGTACCTGCTAAGATACTGAAAGGATCCCAAAGAGCCACCATGAGTAGCTGGAAAAGTTAAGCATATACAAACCCTTTCAATATTTTTCAAGGAACTTTGCAGTTATTGTTCTAAAAATAAAGAGTGGTTTGAGGCATCTTTGCAAGATCTGCATTTTGTTTGCTTTGGCAAACGTATTACAGGGACAGTGTAACTGTTAAAATTTTAAGTCTTAAAAACCTAGAAAGATTTAGGTACACATAAGTGAAATGAAATCAAAGCACCTAAAGTAATGGAAACACCCAACAAGCTTATTGAGTATGCCATGTCAAGACTCTTCAGGTCTTCTACATGGTTAAAATTCAAAGTTGTCTTATACACAAATGAATTCTGAAACAGAAAATATAAGCGGAAACCTTACCTCTGCCTCATGGCTCTCCCTCTTTCCCTTTCACTCTACCTCCTGAATAGAAAGGGCAGAATCAAGGTCATTTGCATGCTATTAGCTGTCTCGATAAGTAACTGAAATATGCCTTAATTTCTTAAGTTTAACCTTAAAAATTCTAGTTCTGAAATAACTCAAACATTCCTGCAACTTGTAGTTGACCCAGACTCACCACTATATATACCAACTTTTTGTGTATTAGTCTATGTTTTAGCTTGGAATTCTCAGAATAACAACTCCATGGGTAACAGTATTCAGTTGCTGCAAGGTCACAGATAGCACGGATAACACCAAGAATCTGAAAGCCATCTTTGATCTTACCCTATTTCTCCTCACAAGCAAACTGAGACACACCCACCCTGACACCCATTCTGGGTAAAGTGTTCCATTATAGAAACATAGCATACCATTCAGGATTTGGATGATATACGAATGTGAGCATGATTTTCATGAAAAAGCCAATTGTCCAGCTGAGGGAAACAAACAATTCACTGAAATGATGCGACATTAGTATTATTGTCATCACATGGTTTTAATAATTCTTCCACACATTTTAAAAACAAGACTACAAGCTACATAAAAATTTAGATTGGTAAGGCAAATCATTTATAGACAGAAAACTTTATGGAGGTTGCCTACAAACACATGCTCACTGAATACATTCCTACCTGACTTGGCTGATTGCTTAGAGTATCTTCCAAAATACGATCAATGCAATCAACTGCTCCTTTATTTCAATTTTGTAATGGAATGGGGGGAGGGGAAGGCAAGTTCCTGTTCCTTACAGTTACAATGAAAATCCCAAATGCATTAAGCAAATTTAACCCCTACTACATCCCATCAAATTTGTTTAAGTACCAAGGCAGAGGGTTGACATACATCCTCTAACTGATGTTCAGATACCTATGCGGGTTTTTTTCCTGCTGGAGAAGACAGGAGTTTGTAGCCTGTAGGTACATTTAAAATCGGAAGACAATGCTCTAGGGAAAAAGTGAAGACCAACGCTGAATAACATCCAGTGGTACCTCAGCGTTTGAACGACCACCAGCACACCCAC